CGACACCATCAAACAATCGAATAATTATAATAACTAGGTCGTTACACAATGTATGTATATATATATAGTATTTACAATACGATACGTTAGCGCTGCACCGCGGCCGGCACGACCGACGGTAAGTGGGGACCGTCCGCGCGACGGCTCGTCCCGGCACCGGCCCGCGCCAACAGCTTCGATTACCGTTTACAAAAGACGTACAACAAACACTAATCTTTCTCACTCTTCTTCCTCTTTTTCTTCTCGGTTTTATCTCCCTTCTTCTTCTCCACTTTCTTGTCCGGTTCGGGCGACTTGAACTCGTCCGTCTTGCGTTTCTTGGGCGAGGACTTGTCCGCGGGCGGCGGCTGGTCCTTCTTGGCGGAGCGGAGTTGCTTGGGGGGGCAGAGCTGCTCGTCGGGCGAGCTGGGCGGAGACTCCGGCTTGGCGGGCGGCGGCTTCTTGCCCCGCGCCGACTTGCCCTTGTCTCCGTCCCGGGGGATGCCGAGGATGTCGGCCCACTGGTCGGGGGGCGGGGTGGGCTGCTTGTTCTCCTCCTCGTTGGACTGGTCCGATTGTTTCTGAAGAACAGACCGACACTTACACCGTCGTCACTGCGCGAGCGCGGACGTTGGCAGACGAGACGCTACCACCTCACTCGTAAATAAGATTTTATATCAAACATTCGATAATGAGTTCTATTTGCATTCTCATAAAGCTCAATGTTTAACTTTCAATTTAATTACATTCCGCACTAGCATTCTCGTCGACCAATGAACGTCCAGCCTTATAATTAACACGACGCGCGCCTGTAAGGGACCAGCACCATGGCTTGTCCCTCCAGACATCGCTCACAAAACTGAGTTGTACATTGAATCTATGCATCACACTTCTATTTTAACTAAATACGGCTGAAGACATGAGTGGATGAAGGAGTTAAGTAAAATTTTTAGGGTTTTTTTAATTTTTAATACGCTTTTATTAGTTTCAGACATATGTATGTAACGGAATCTTTGAACATGATTTTGAGCCCCTTCAAAACGTCGGATTAACTCGAAATTTGGTGTACAGTATTTAAAATTATAAAAAAAAACTGACAAAATACGCTTTTATAGAAAATCCAACTAAAAAATTGAAATTAATTTTAGTAAATTTGAAATAAAAATAGTGTAAAAAAAAAATTTTTGTAAAAAAAAAACCGTGGGGTGTATATCAGTAGTTATAAATATTTTATGAACAGGTATGAGAAGAAGGGTTATTTTGATAATGTCCTGAAAAGCACACCACGCTATTTTTAATTCAAATTTATTAAAATTTATTTTCAATTTTTTTTGTTGGATTTCTATAAAAGCGTATTTTGTTAGTTTTTTTAAACTATTATTTATTACATTGAATGAAGGTGTTATATGCCTATAAGCTATATTAAACCTTAAACCTCCGGATTTAAAGGCTATTTTCAGAAATTGCATGTAATGAAGATGTTATTAACGAAGAAAAAGCACAAGTAACAAAAGTTTGTTGGTCATTTTCTCAAAATTAACAAATTGTATCATTTCCCCTTCATCCAATCATGTCTTCAATTAAGTTTGTGAATTTTTATTTGTTTTTGTTTATAGTTTTTCCCCCAAAATAAACGCTAAACAAAACTAAATAGAAGTGTAATAAGTTTCAATATTCAACTCTAGATTCGAGCCATCACTTGCGACGCTGCAATGATTTAGAGATAAAGAGACAATTAGATGATAAATAAGCTCACGTTGTGTCTTCGCGAAATTGAACATCACACCGTCCTCGACGAGACTATATATTTATTACTTTATTGAAGGCATCGCAAGCTTTGGTTAGAATCGATAGGGGGAGCGGGGGGTTGGGGGCGGAGGCGGGGGGGCGCGACCTGCATCGGACACGATCTGACAACGGCCTTCCAAAGGAAGCGACGGGAGAGAATCAAACAACAACAACATTAATACGTACAAAGAATATATTAATTATATAAAGTGCATTCATACACGCGCATCCAGGCTAGCATAATCATCGTCGCATCGGCGATTCAATCGTTTCGATACGAGACATCGATATGTCGATTACGATATTACAATAGTTTCCTTTGAAATCGTACGCTGCAACGAGGTCATTGTACCCTTGAGGCCGTGTCATATTCTGCGGGCTGTTCGAATCGATTTCGGAACAATCGATTATTCAAAATCGATAACTTTGCCATCATTTTTTAATCGGACATGTGTATTGAACGCCTAATGTGCACGACTCGTTTTAGAAATAATCGAGATCTTTTCAAAATCGATCGATATTAGTGCCTTAGTCCGATGTAGGTGCGCTGTTTACCACACTACCCGCCCGGGCACGCGTATCGATATCAATTTAGCCAATAGGTAAATAAATAATTAAACGCATTTACTATCGATAATCGCACCCCAGTCCGAGATATAGGCGTGCCGATTGTCTCATTTACTCTGACTAATTCAATATAAACCTGAAAACTAGGGCGAAATTGTAAGAACCATTGTTGTGACATTAGTAGAATTACTAAAATTAAAGGGTATGTGAAAAAAATGTACTTAAAAATGGCACGGTTATGGCTTCTGGAGCAAAATTATTAACCTTCAAAAACTATAATGAACGTATATGGTATGGGGGGGGGCTAGATGCTAGATAATAGACTGATTATAATTCCATGGAAAAATCTAAGGGAGTTATAGTTTTTATGATCTACACAATACATGTGGGTAGAGTAGAATGGTTAAAGGGGCGGGATGTTGCAAGGCTGGCAAGAATTGGAAATATTCAACACTGAAATAATTAAAATCACACACGCAGTTACTGCTGCGTTCACAATAAGATTATCATCAAACATTTGACGTCAGTGAGCTTTGATTGAGACGCGATGAATCTAGAGAGTTCGACTATGGTCCGCACAACTTTGCCCCGTATAGCTTCAGTGTTCACGATTTTTCTCTCAGAAGTAAGTAGGGTGGTCGCCCAGCCACCCGCAGATTATGACAATCGGCTCCAAAATAATAAATTATAAAAAACTTTATAATGTGTGTATTACACATATGTCGCTCGCATTTCCAAAAAGAGGGTAGTTTGGCCCAGAAATATTTTCATGAACGTATTTCTAAGTCTCGAGCTGCGAATCCGTACTAAGAAAATTAATAATATGATCAGGTACAACTAAAATAAAATAAAATGGTGCGCGTGTAAAAAGTGAAACTTCTTTTGCGGTCTGAAGTTTTGTGGTTTCCTTAATTTTTCATCCTTGAATCAAATTTCTCTTGTAATACGGAATGCTGTGTATAAGACAGACGACCTTTAAATCATTCATCAATCTTTTTTTTAAATCCTGTATGTTACTGCCATCTACAGGAGCAATGAGGAACTAATAACAAGCCATTTAGTGGCCGACGCCCGTAAACAGAATGTGTATAAGAGAAACGACCTAGCTCGCTGTCTCCCTCTCTCCACGGTCGAGTGGTTCGCGAGACGCTCTGTCTATTTTCTCACTCTCGCTCGTCCTAAATTGTATCTTTTTTCTCTAGCCGTAACGAATCTGTCGCGAATTAGCTTTGCGCCTAAGAAGTTTCACTTCAAAAAACAAAATAGTGTATACAATTGGCGCCTTGTCTCACCCGAATAAAGATACTATTTGTGTGCGTCACAGGACATATCCAACGTATATTGTTATCGCGTGTACAACAACGCGGCAACGTCGACATTAACTGTTCTCTCATTATACATTCGCGTCAAAGAAGCACTGAACTACCCTCTCTTTTTAAACAATAACACAGACAGAGACACGCCGACGTGTGGACGTCAATCATGTTATTTGAAATCGCGAGCGACATCGTCTACTGGTCAACTATTTTAAAAATAACCCATTTATTTATTTATACAACTTCAACCGGCATCTAGACAAACATTGTATGCAGCGGCCTCACATTTCTACCCTTGTACGTGGTGTCTCACTCACTCGGCGGGGAGGCGGCGGCTCCGGGTGGTAGGGACGAGCTATGGCCTGTGGCCGGAGGTGCAGCGCTAATGACGGGATCGACTCGAGCAGTTTTTATGAGCATCCTGATCTCATACGTCTGTGTTGATAATGTGGTGTCCATGGGCCTCTGCACCGAATAGACACTCACTCACTCACTGACACACACACACTAACTCACTCACTGACACACACTAACTAACTCACTGACACACACACTAACTCACTCACTGACACACACACACTAACTCACTGACTCACACACTAACTCACTCACTGACACACACACTAACTCACTCACTCACTGACACACACCTTAACTGACTCACTGAGACACACACTAACTCACTCACTCACATTTCGTTTGAGGACACCAACTAGCTACATTTATAGAGTTGTTTTCGAGTAAGAAATAAATGGGTTACTTTTAATTTGGAAACGAATAACACTATAGAGCCCGAAACCTCTCCCGGTAACTAATAGTTAGAGAGACACCACGATCCTGGCTCGTGCCGCGACACAAGTCAGGACCGCGGGCCGCTCGTGTGCAGACAAACAAACACCGGTTCTTACCTTTTTGTTTTCGTTCCGATGGTCCCCCGCCGCTCGCGCGCACAACACATTAACAACAAAGAAACCGTATAGGGAGCGTGTCCGACGCAGGTCGATATATAGACGGCAAGATTACACATTCGCTTCAGCACGGGGGGCGCGGACCCCCCGGGGGACAACAAGAGTGTCAGCGCGCGGAGAAAGATCGCACAATACAATTAACATCATGACATCTAATTATCATTAGAGATGAAACGAATATCCGATAATTATCAGGTATCCGACCATGTTGTCACTATCCGGCCGGATACCGGATAGTAAATCAGTACAACATAAAGATGCAAATTGAGACACAGCATCCAGCGTGTAATTAAGAGCCGGACAGACTCTAGCACTGATTTAGTTCCGAGTGTTTCTACAAGTCACAACTCGGATGGGACACATACGCACGCGTAAGACTCACCTCTCCCTTCTCTTTCTTCTTCTTCTCCTTATCGCGTTCTTTGTCTTTTTTCTCTTTCTTACTGACACCTGATGAATTAAACAGACGTTTAGTATCGCAATTACTTTACAACAAAGCATTTTTTATTGCTTAGATGGGTGAACGACCTCACAGCCCATTTGGTGTTAAGTGGTTACCGGAGCCCATAGACATCTACAACGTAAATGCCGCCACCCACCTTGAGGTAAAAGTTCTAAGGTCTCAGTATAGTTACAACGGCTGCCCCACCGTTCAAACCGAAACGCATTACTGCTTCACGGCAGAAATAGGCCGGGCGGTGGTACCTACCCGCGCGGACTCACAAAAGGTCCTACCGCCAGTAAAAGCAAGGGGGGGCGGCGTGTCGGGGCGATCCCCCTAGTGGTCCCCGTGTAGCTGTACTGACCCTTGTCTTTCCCGTCCTTCTCTTTCTTCCTCTCCTCCTTGACGAGCTTGCAGTACTCCCGGAAGTAGTCCTCGCGCAGGCCGCTGGTCTCCACGGCCTTGTACCGCGCCTCCGAGTCCAGCTTCTTCTTGACATCGACCCACCTGGCGTGGCGGTCCACCGACTTCTCTTTGAGCAGCGCTATGAATTCCAGTTTAGCCTATAACGGAAAAAGATCGGTCAGCAGCGGGCGGCGGCCGGCGCGCGGGGGAGACGAGGGTCGGGGCTGGGGGGCGGGCGGGGGCGGAGGCCGGGGCGGGGGCCGAGGCCGGGGCGCGGATGGGGGACAGGCACATTTTAATTATTTATTTATTTACGCCGAAGTGGGACAATTCAAATGATATTTTTCACAAGTTTCAATATAGCAATATTTATCTAAAGAGATTATACAAATTGAATAAGACAGACCAGTTCCAAGTGGCGGTGGCCGGGCGGCGACGGATCCCGGCTTTGCACGTCAATTTTTAAAAGATTTCAATAAAAGGTAGAGGTTCTCAGTTCATCTATATTCTCCTTGGTTTGTTCTAGGTGATGTTGAGAATACCTTTTGATACGGAAGCTGCCCCTCCTCGTGGGGTCCGGTCGGGAGCTCAATATTAAATATCAATTTTATTGACTATCTACTTTTTTGTTTTAATGTTGTATTACATTTAATTCGTTCGCATACTTATATATCGAAACATTACATTAGATCGCCTGTAACTTTAAATGCTCAACATTAAAACACGCGTCCTGAGTCGACCTCTGGGCGCGGCGGGGTCTAGCGTGCGTATTACTATAAGTTTAATTATCTCGAAATGTCATAAACTAATTTCAAACAATTTCTTATAGTTCAAAACGAAACATGATTGTACAAATAAACAAGAGGGAGAGTTGGTATAGGGAGGGGTGGGTTCAACAATTCGCATAGCAGTCCGTGCCCCCCGCCCCCCGCCCCCCGCCAGCCGCGAGCAAACGTCGCTTATAAACGATACGAGCAACCGCCTGCAAGAGAACTCATCATTAGGGTTAGAAGCTGAAAATGTAAAGATAAACATTATGGAACCTGCAATGTACAAGTGTCATTAGAACCTGTAAGAAAACGTCATTAGGTCGCGTCGGCGCGGACGGAGGGGACGCCCCCCTCTCGCCCCCCTGCATCACTAATGAAATCAGTTTCGCAGATATGTTCATTTGTCTGCTATGACGCACAGGCAGGGTGGAGCCAGTACTGACAGTACACTCTGAGGTCGATAGCCTGTCCCCCCGCTTGACCCCCCTATAAGATGACATGTTGATAAGTGGGGGGCCGGGCGGGGGGACAACATGCGCGTTGTCTATGGGCCCTGACGGCCCCCGTGCTCGCTCGTACGGACCATCCCTTCATTTAATATTCATTACTTTTCTTTAACGAACTCTGCAAAACTTACTTCATTGTTGTATTATAATTATAGTACTCTTTCAACGATTTTACAATTTAAATAATTTACTGTTCTTCTTTCTAATTATTATTAACTATTCTTAATAATTTATTCTTTCTGTATCTTTCAATTTTCTTTAAACATTTAAGAACAATGATGTCCTGAAGGGACTCTACTTTTAATTCAAAATATATATTATATCTTATAAAATAATGTTCAAGTCCAAAAAGAAGCTATTTGGTCCACAAGAAGAGTCCCACTGCTGGACAACAGGCTGGTAACACTACATCATAATATGTCATTAAATCTCAAAAATTTACAGAATCTTAGTAATTAATATTATTTAACTTCTCGATGGACTGTTTAAATTAAGCTGAAAAGTAGAAATCGTGATTAGTAATATCTATTAACTATGATTAGACAAGATAACTACTGCGGTTCCAAAAAATAATAATTTATAATTGGTAACCCGTCACCACTTTCCTTGTTTAAATAATTCTACCATCCCGGTAGGTTCCCAAGTTACACTGGCAACCGAGATCATGCTCAACCACACTATAGAGGGGAAGGAGATTTTATATAATTAAAAAAGATTTCTCGGTCCAAATTAAAGAAAAACCCATTTGTAACTTTACTTGTAGAAATCATCTGGTGATCTTCTAAATAAAAAGACAAAGACATTAAATGAATGATTTCACGGACAATTAATTACAAGCGAGTGGTTCTTGGAGTCGGGCGCGCCGCCGCTCGGCGCTAATTGTTCTTCTTAAAATATTTTCTAACCTTAGGGAGGCTCGTCGGTAAGGCGTCATCGTTTGACGATACATTTATCTAACATTGTTTAGTTCCGTTACGTTCCTGGCCTGTCCTGTAATACGACCGTCTGTTAGAAGCGGGACTTCGGAAGCGACGTCGCCTCGGGAGGTAAGTGCGAGCTACTGACCCGCCGCCGCCGCACGGAGCGGCTGTGTCCGCGACCTGCCCGCGCGCCCTCTACCGGGACTACTAAACCTCACACTAACTAGGCGCGCCGCGGGCACCGTCGCGACCCACATCCGCTCGCGTCGCTATAAAAATCATTTGTCAATAGTAATGATAATATATATATAAATATAGAGATATATAAAACAGACAAATTAAATTATTCAGAGATAACATATCAATGGCATTGCTATCGGGAGTGTGCGAGCGTCGCCCGCGCCCGGCGGCCGCCGTCCCGACTCCCCTCCGAGAGCAGTGCCACAGACAGACATTAACTTTCAATTATATCATATTCATTTAGTAAGAAAATTAAATGTAATCAAAGTCACGACTCAGGTGATTAGATCATTTCGCAAGCGCATGCGTCCGTCGGCACAGCGGCGAGACATGAGGCGCCGCTCGACGCGGGCGGGGATCGAACCCGCACTCGTGGACACTAGATTATCTAAAGGTATAACATTAGGCAATTCAGTTTATGCAGAAACTGAGAGAGTACATTAACATAAAGACGGAGCAGTTCATTCAGAGAGCGTTCCCGCGTGACGTCACACGATCTGGACAGTGATGGCGGCGAGGGACAGGTGGGGGGCCGCCCCCGACCGCAGCTGTTCTCTACTGTTATATGTCCCCCTACAAATTCAGATATTATTTTCGTCTCCAGTGCGAGCCCCGGAGCGGGCCGGGGGCGGGGGTCGGGTTGGGGGTGGAGGTTCGGGCGTAGAACTGACCTGTTCTCTCTTCCGCTCCTTCTCCTCCTTGTCCCTCTTCCTGATCTCGGCGAGGTACTCGTTGAAGTATACCTCCCTGTCCCGCGGCTTCTCTATCGCCTTGAACCGCTCGTCTCGGCCGTGCTTGGAGGAGAAGTCCAGGAACGAGGACCTGGCGATGGAAAGCGCTAGTTAGTACAAAGCTAAATCTAATATTAAAAAAAAAGCCATGTCCGCTGAGTTTCTTGCCAATTCTTCTCAGGACGGAGGCTAGTTTTTGTGAATTGGCAGTAGTTCTTCAAGAAGTATATACTTTCATTTATGTTGAATAAAAAATAATAATTTTTGATTTCATTTGGTGCGTAGTGCCGCTACGTACTTTGTATGAAGCTTGGCTTCGTCCAAGAGTTGCTTGAAGTTCGCCTTCTTTGCTAGCAATCGGTTTTTCTTCTCCTTCCTCTCTTCCTCGGCACGTTCGGTCACGTACTGATTAAATATCTGTGCAAATAACTATAGTTCAACATCATTTCAACATTTAGGCTCGGTTCTGCCCCTGGCATTGCTGAAGTCCATGGGCGACGGTAACCACTCACCATCAGGTAGGCCGTGTGATCGTCTGCCTACAAGGGCAAAAAAAAATCAAATTTTTTTTAGACGGGTCAGATTACTGGTGGCTCAGAGACGTTTCCAATTCCACCAGGACGAGAGGGGTGGGCCCGAGCATGGGTTAGTTATCAGAGCCCGCTCATAGCAGCTGCTGTGGACGTCTGATAGTTGTGTTAATGTATCTGTGAAGTCTAAACGTGCGTTTCTTTTTTTTATTGCTTAGATGGGTGGACGAGCCCACAGACATGTACAAGTACAGTGCGGCACGTGCCTGGCGCCGCTCCTTGCAGTTGAGCACGAGGTAGCGCGGCTCGAAGACGATCTTGTGCAGCTCCTTGTCCCAGGTGCTGAAGGCGGAGACGTTCTTCTCGCGCAGCATGGCGCGGAACGACGCCACGCGCTGCTCGTGCGGCACCGCCACGCGCACGCGCGCCGCCCGCGCCTCCGCCTCCGCCGNGTACAAGTACAGTGCGGCACGTGCCTGGCGCCGCTCCTTGCAGTTGAGCACGAGGTAGCGCGGCTCGAAGACGATCTTGTGCAGCTCCTTGTCCCAGGTGCTGAAGGCGGAGACGTTCTTCTCGCGCAGCATGGCGCGGAACGACGCCACGCGCTGCTCGTGCGGCACCGCCACGCGCACGCGCGCCGCCCGCGCCTCCGCCTCCGCCGCGCTCACCTCCTCCAGCTCTGCAACATATGCGTGCAGGTCACACACGGTGGGAGTCAAGAACTAGAGGTCCCGCAGTAGTCGAAATTCGACTATAATTAATTGGAATTGTAAGCTTGTACACTGTTATGGTTGTATTTTCAACGCCAAGACTACAACACTATAGACATATATTAACAAAGACAGACAATATTTAATCTATTCTCAATTTGGCCAAGACGTCGAGAACAAAAGTTTGACAATAAATAATATGCATGCGAGTGTGCGTCAAATACATGGTATGTAGTGTGTGTAATGTTTTCCTTATTGATTTAATGTATCTATTATGCATTGTGTACGTATTGGTACGGGATGGCGCCCTCTGTGAACTGATATTTTAACTTCACGTTTCATTGAGTTTGAAATCACATCACAGCAATCCTAAAGAAGTTTCACTTCAATATTAATGCAAATTGAGGCATTCTTGAATGCATTGTCTCTATATAAAGACGATTTATTACTAAAAGCGCGGAAACACACATCGTTTGTATTATTTCTTTTATAAAATAAACTCAGTGCCAGTCACAGTTTCCTTTTTTTAAAAGAGCTCCTGAACCCACCCCGTAACAGGACCACGGACCGCGCCCATCCAGACTGCTGGTCATTCATTGCCAGAAACATTTTAGGATTATATAGGACAAGCGGCCCGCTCCGGCTCCGCTCGGGTCTTTAACAAAAATTTCAACGATGTTTGACGTTGTTTTATTTGTTTAAATAAAAGAACGCTTATTGCGGCATAACTATAATTGTTAGACATATGCTGTCGTGACACTTTTTGTAAATAATAATGTGTTCTACAAAGTCGTAGTACATTATTTTATTCTATCATCAATAGTTTCGCAGGGCACGCGATGTAAAGAATATTTTTGGGTAATTTTTTCAAACCTTGGGTTATATTATTCGAGTTTTAGTAAGAATCCCTAATTCTTTTCAAAAAAGATTATATCCTATGTCACTGGGGATTAGTATAGCTTCCAAACAGTGAAAGAATTTTTAACATCGGTTCAGTAGTTTCGGAGCCTATTCAATACAAACCAACAAACAAATCTTTCCTCTTTATAATATTAGTATAGAACAGCCTTTCTCAAAGTGGACGATAACGCCCCTTTGTGGGTGCTGCAGACCTAAAGGGGGGCGGTAAGAGACCCAGAAAAAAATGGGGGCGTTGGGTAGAGGCTTGGGAAACGATTTCTAATTTCATCTAGAAGGACCCTTATATACCGACTAAGCTCTCGCTATAGTAGTTTTTAAGTAGGTTGAAAAATGGGGGCGCTAAAAATAATTTATTCTCAAAGTGCGCAGTAAACAAAATAACTTTGGGAACCACTGGTATAGAAGAACCAAGTCTCACGGCATCGTCGAGAGCATACTAACTTTCTTCAATCTTTGGCTTCTTGGCGGCGGTGGCGGCGGCGGCGGCGGCGTCCGCGTCCGCGTCGGCCGGGCGCTTGGTGTCGGCGGTGCTGGTGACGGAGGGCGTGGTGCTGGACACGCCGGGCTCCGACTCCTTGCCGCCCACGGTGGACGTGATGCGCTGCACAGAGGGGCGCGGCTACAGAGCGGTGCGGGGGTGCGGGTGCGGGGGGTTGGGGGGCGGCGCTCACCAGCAGGTCGAGCACGGCGGCGGGCGGGTTGGTGACGGCGCGGTCCACGTCGGGGCGGCCGATGAGCAGCTCGGGGCGGTCCCACACGGACGTGAGCTCGGTGGGGTTGTGGAAGAACACGCGCCCGTCGTCCGTCCACACGACGCACCTGCACGCAAGCACGACACAAGGTTACCGACCATATATGTATAAGTAGGTAAATGTTACCTTGCTTTCTTATATAATCTATATAACAACCTAATCTATCTTAAGGAGGAGGGAGCCTGGAGATCAGTAATACAGGTCTTTGAACCTATAGTACAGACTCCAGCTCTTTCAAAGGCTTACAAAATAAATTATAAGGTTAATTTCCATTTGTATTTGTACTATACCTTTAAGAGAGAAATAAATAATTATTATGTACAACTTATTTGTCACTGAGCCGTGCAAGTAAACCCACCAAGGCGTTCCTACAATGGGCGTGGTAGAGATGGGTCTCCTGCCGTGCTTCGCCTTCTCCTTCTCGGCAGCTTCCTTCTCGGTCTTCTCCTTGTCTGCCTTTTCCTTCTCGAGTCGCTCCTTCTCCGCCTTTTCCTTCTCCTCTTTCTGCTTCTCCTTCTCGGCGGCGGCGGCTTCCTTCTCCGCATCCGTGTTGCTCTGCGGTTCCTCATCCTCTTCAACGTCGATGACTGTTGTGAAATATTGTTAAAGTTCATCAATAATATCAAGGTGAGCGCGTCTGGGCACACGAGTCCCCAGCTGGAGGCGGCAGGTTGGCTGTGCTGTACTCATGTTAATTGTGAACTCTTTAAAAGTGCCAGCAATTTTTTTTATAAAAAACATTCCATATTAAAAAGGTACACAAAAACTTTTAAATTGATTGACTAAGTGTTCTCAAGGAAGAGTGTAAGCGTAGGAACACACACATAGTCTATCTCACACGCCCACACACACCTTAGTAGCTCTGAAGTCATACCCATATCGATGTTTTTACTGAATAATTACAAAGCACATGGTCGAGTTAGTTGTTTCTTCGTAGAGTATAATTAACATTCCTATTACTGATATCTATGAGCAAATATAACCACTTATTATCGGGTGGATTGTAGGCTTGCCTGTATTTTTATGGCAATAAAAAATTAAGTAAATGAAAACTAAAGAGTGATTGGGGAATATATGTGTATAACTTGTGAACCTGTTAGCTGCAGTCAGTGGGAGAGTGAGTGAGGAGGGAGGAACAGATATGTGGAGAGGGGTGTAGCTTGTGTGTCTGTTAGCTGCAGTCAGTGGGAGAGTGAGTGAGGAGGGAGGAACAGATATGTGGAGAGGGGTGTAGCTTGTGTGTCTGTTAGCTGCAGGCAGTGGGAGAGTGAGTGAGGAGGGAGGAACAGATATGTGGAGAGGGGTGTAGCTTGTGTGTCTGTTAGCTGCAGTCAGTGGGAGAGTGAGTGAGGGGGGAGGAACAGATATGTGGAGAGGGGTGTAGCTTGTGTGTCTGTTAGCTGCAGTCAGTGGGAGAGTGAGTGAGGGGGGAGGAACAGATATGTGGAGGGGTGTAGCTTGTGCGTCTGTTAGCTGCAGTGAACTAAAGTGCGAGTGTGGCGGTTGTATGGACACTTTGCCTACTCACCCACTATTTTGCTGGGATCTATTTCTATATTAGGATATTTCTCGCCCTTCTCGGCGGCTATCAAGGATTTTATATCTGCAGACAAATTAACGAATTTATGTTATTCACAAAAGCAACGTATTGCACAACCAAACCAAAAGCCTTCAAATTAAATATCCAAGAAGCTGTGACGACGGATGTACTGAAAGTTGCAGTGGCATTGCAGTATGTGAACGCGTGTTGGGTACATAGCTACTTCAGTAATGAGCGCTCATTAAAAAATATTTTTATAGACTAAACTAAGAAACCAATTTAAAAATTTCTTAAATGTTCAGTGTATTTTTTTTTTTTAATAGTGGAGATAAAATTTAGTCACTTGGTACGGGGATGGCATCATAAAGAAAGTGAAGTCGGTGCCTTAAGAAGTTAACCCGTGGCATGGTGCCCCATGCAATGTCACCCGTTTATTTTATAAATTATTTTGTACAGCCCAAGTACTATCCCTCTGTAAGGCTGCTCAGATTTCGAAATGTTGCATACCGCATTAAGTGCTCAAATGGGGACTAACTTCACGCTTTGAGTTTAAAAAACTTTTCGTTTTCATTCAAAGCAATAAACATGATGACAAGAAATACGACACCGGGTATCCCATAGAGGGTAGATCAAGCTGAAAACTGTAGCTAGTGTTCTACTATTAATGTTAATACTACTAATAATGTATTTGCCGGAAAAATGAGTTCAAGTAAATGGTTCCGGAACAGAGAGCACTTGAACATAACAAACAACTATTGCTCCATAGAACCTTGAATTGTGTTATCACAAGGTACCGTAAAGTAAAATATAAGGCTGGCAACAAAACAGTAAAAAATGCAACTATTTTTATTGCTTTAATCGAGCACATGGCTCACATAGTACTGAGTGGTTATCGAACCCCATAGACACCGACAACATAAATGCCTTGGCCCAACTTGAGACATGAATTCTAAGCCACAGTAGTACAACGGTTGCCCCACTCTTCAAACGAAAAGCATTATTGCTTCACGACAGAAATAACAGAGTAGCGGTACCTACCCGTGTGGGTTCACACCAGGAAGTAACCGTATATGTATATATTGATCATACGAATTGAGTGCACACACTGAATATACGGTTCTTTGACAAATGGGATTCCTGTGGTATCGCTTCCATTGAGCTCTCACGGCACGTGATGAACAATCTATATCTTCTAGGTCGACGTTACATAAGTGATAATTACTTTTCATCTAACAAAGATTTATATCTGTCAACAAAGTCCGCACACAAACAAGTGACGTTCTCTTGTTAGTCCGCACGGGTTCTATTTCTGCCGTGAAGCAGTAATGCGTTTCAGTTTGAAGGGTGGGGCAGCCGTTGTAACTGGAGACCCTTAGAACTTATCAAGGTGGGTGGCGCATTTACGTTGTAAATGTCTATGGGCTCCAGTAACCACTTAACACCAGGTGAGCTGTGAGCTCGTCTATCCATTAAAGCAACAAAAATAAAAGCGTGAACTACTGTTCCCTAAACGAGTAGCACGTCGCGTACCGTCGAGTTCCTTGAGCACTGCGGGCTTCTCCCAGACGCTCTCCTGCTTGCTGGCGTTGTAGTAGTAGGGGCGGCCGTCCGGCGCCTTGTGGCTCGTCCACTCCGCCGCCAGCTCCAGCAGCTTGGGCGAGATCACCTGCAAGCCACAAGCATCGTTAGCTCACGAACGCTAACGGTTCGAGGGCGACTTCCAGTGAAGGAATAACATCGTGTAATAAAAATCAAACCCGCAAAATTATAATTTGCATAATCACTGGTGGTAAAACCTCTTGTGAGTCCGCATCCGTACCACCGGTACACATCGGTACCACCACCCCGCCTATTTCTGTCTGCCGTGAAGCAGTAATGCGTTTCGGTTTGAAGGGCGGGGCAGCCTTCGTAACTCTACTGAGACCTTAGAGCTTATATCTCAAGGTGGGTGACGTGGCATTTATGTTACCGATGTCTTTAAGCTTCGGTAACCACTTAACGCCAGGTGAGCTGTGAGCTCGTCCATCCATCAAAGTAATAAAAAAAAAAGACGTAAGTAATGTGTATACGAACGGTTTCCTTCTTGGGCATGGGCACGGTGGGCGGCGCCCGGGGCTGCTCGGCGGGCTCGCACTGCGGCGCGGCGCCGCTGCTAGGCCACGCGCCCGGGGCCGCTTCGGGGTTGCTGGGGTTGTTCACGGCGGGAGGCCAGCCCCAGGCCGGCCAGCCCGGAGGCCCGTATGACTCTCCCTGCTGGTATGCGTTGTAACCTGTGGATACAGTTCAGTTTTATTACAAACTAGCTCGCTTCGCTTCGGAAACTGTAATTTATTATTGATATCTCCACTATTTAATGGATGTTATTATAAATATAAACCTTCCTCTTCAATCAATCTATCTATTAAAAAAAAACGCATCAAAATCCGTTGCGTAGTTTTAAAGATTTAAAGCATACATAGGTTTTTTTTTTTTTTATTGCCCTTGTAGGCAGACGAGCATACGGCCCACCTGATGGTGAGTGGTTACCGTCGCCCATGAACTTCAGCAATACCAGGGGAAGAGCCAAGCCGCTTAGAATAGGGACAGAGAAAGCGACTTTGTTTTATACTATGTAGTGATACTCATTTAAAGTCTGGCACAACATGAGCCACCGTATTCATCATAATAGACAGTTCACATTGTCCGTGCACTGTAAGCTACTTTTCCCCAAAATTAAAATACAAATTGACATTCAATACCCCGCACCTAACATACATTCAATGAAAAAAGTAACAAGAATGGATAATTTTATTTATATTTGTGATTGTGATAAAATATATTTAATTGAACAACTAACATTTTGTGTACTGTAGATGTTACCCCGGTAGTGTTTGTGAACAAACTGTGTTACTGGTGGTAGGACCTCTTGTGAGTCCGCACGGGTGGGTACCACCGCCCTGCCTATTTCTGCCCTGAAGCAGTAATGCATTCCGGTTTGAAGGGCGGGGCAGCCGTTGTAACTATAGTTGAGATCTTAGAACTTATATCTCAAGGTGGGTGGCGCATTTACGTTGTAGATGTCCATGGGCTCCAGTAACCACTTTACACCAGGTGGGCTGTGAGCTCGTCCACCCATCTAAGCAATAAAAAATTAAAAAAACATTTTATGAAACAACAAACTATTTTTCACTGCATTTTAAAGATGTGGTTTTTACTTTTTACTCTGTCAGTTATAAAGTCAATCAATAAATACAAAAGTAACAAGTGTGAATTGTACTACGCTGACCATTGGTTTGCTGCTGTCCAGGGACTGCTTCTCCCGGTGGCATTTCATCGTTATCAGTCATACTGCTCACTACGGACTCAGAGGCTTTGTCTTTATCTGAAATTTAATTTAGTATTTTTTATCTATATACATAAAAATGAATTGCTGTTCATTAATTTCACTAAAACTCGAGACTCGGCTGGACAGATTCGGCTAATTTTGATCTTGAATTATTTGTGGAAGTCCAGAGAAGGTTTAAAAGGTAGATAAATATGAGAATGCTCGGAATTAAATAAAAATAACAATTTCGTTTTTCTTTTGATGTGTCTCCCATCGGACGGATTCTTTTTGTTTGTTTTAAGTTTGTTTCTACAAAAGTATAGGTCTATTTATCGATTGAGGCACTACGAAGTCTTCCGGGTCAGCTAGTTTATTATATAAATTGGATTACAGACGCAATGTTTGTATTACATACTTATTTCAGTTTTCATGAGTGGCATCTTTAGTAAATAAATATGAACTATGTATAGTATAAGTGTGGTATATTGGAGATGGAAGTCTCTCACCGTCCTTCCCCCAGGGCGGCGGCCCCATGTACTGGTGCTGCGCGCCGGGCAGCATCATGCCGTTGGGCATCACGAGCGGCGCCTGGCCCATGGGACCGTTCATGCCGACCCCTTGTGCCGATATTTGGGGGATTTGTCCTGCAACAACACATCGTTACTGACGCGCACCACGCACACCCAATCGTTCACGGACATCAGCAACACTAAAGGCACAACAAAGGTAGGACCTCTTGTGTGTCGGCACGGGTAGACACCATAACCCTGCCTACTTTTGCAGTGAAGCAGTAATGCGTTTCAGTTTGAAGGGTAGGGCAGCCGTTGTAACTATACTGAGACATTAGAACTCATATCTCAAGGTGGGTGGCAGCATTTACATTGTAGATGTTTATGGCCTCCAGTAAACACTTAACACCAGGTGAGCTGTGAGCTCGACCACCCATTTGTGATAAAAAAAAAACAAAGTTGAATAGTATAGTATGGTGGCTGCAATCCGTAGAACTGGGACAGTGGGGAAACATGGGTGTGCTTACTGCCCATAACACAGCGGAAAATAGAATCACTTAAGACTGTTAAATTTTTCTTAAAAAATTTTTTTTAGAAGTTTTGTGAAAGTAGTATTGTATTGCCTTTGTAGACAATCAAGTATAATAATATACAATACATAAAGACATTCTGATGGTGAAGGGTCACCACAAAAAATTTACTATCCAAAATACCGTTTGTTTTATTACCAGTTTAAAATATTTTTGGTCAGTCAATAATTTTATTTAAACAGTCCAATAATAATTTATCTTCTATGGGTTGGTGCCACCTCAGCATTTAGACAGATAATGTTTTCTATACTGAATTTTACAAGGCAGGATCAATACAGAAATAATCAATATCACAACAATTGAGCTCCTCAGCCATCGCATACTCCAAGTGATTCGTTGACTCCATGATGCTTTATTCACACAGAGTGGACTGTGAGCTTGACTAATTTTTAATGAAATAAAATTAAATCTGCTGTATCTGCACCTTATTTTCTTATTTATTTATTTTTTGTTACTCTTGTAGGCAGACGAGCGTACGGCCCACCTGATGGTGAGTGGTTACCGTTGCGCATGGACTTCAGCAATGCCAGGGGCAGAGCCAAACCTCTGCCTAACTGAACCTTCTCCCCCAGTTCATCCTGATGAGCCAATCAAGTCTACAATTCTTAGGGAATGTCATTGTCGGACAACTGGCTGCTCATAAAACAATAAGCCAATCAAAACTGGATCATTGATACAAGCTGCATTCTCCAATATTTTATTGAGGCACCTAGGGGGATAACAGGCAAGAGAAGGTTGTAACAGGCTACCGACCTGAAGCTACCAGTATCTCCATCTCACCGTGTGTGATGACCTTGCAGTTCGGTCCCTCCACTGGCCTGGTCCATGTAGTCTCCCGGGACCGAGCATGGTAATAGTATGATTTGCCTTCATCTGTCTTCGTTTCCACCCATACTTCAGGGTTCTGCAAATAAACACAAAATACATTTGTAAGGGATGGAATCACAATTCTCCAATTACATGATCATCTTACTCTTCAAATTAGAACACATGATTCTAACAAAGTAGAAGTGGCCGTCCACACAGTTCACTTCAATTAAACTAACTACTAGTTCAACTGTCATCTCCTACAATTGCAATCCATATAGGCATATCTATATCTATACTAACATATAAATCTACAGTGGTTTTTACGGATATTCCGTTACAACTACTGAACCATGCATCCGACTGATTTGAAAATTGGTATCCATGTAGTAAATACATGTACTTAATGGATAGGCTAATATTTATATGACTGTTGGACTCCCTACACCAATTGCGGGAGCGTTAATGATGAGAATCTTTTTGCAGGTGAGAAATAATAATGTTAATTTTAAATGCCCAGTGAATCAGACCGATACAGTTAGTCCTTCATAAACATTGAACTCTGATGTTTAGTTGTAGACAAAAGAGGCACATAGCAGATTCTTCCAATGTGCGGGGTGCACTCTTCATTATATCCATATTTAAAATAGTAGTTTTAAATGTAGTACATATTTTTAGTGATTTTGTTTAAAAGTATTGATTAGATATTGTTTTCCATCAGGTCTCTTTCAATGGTTCATGTTGTGTATCACATATTCAACACAATCAAAGAATACTTATAGAGCAGAAAATAATATCTTTGATATCGACTTACCATACCAGGGGGCGGCATACCAGGTGGTCCTCCATACGGGGGCTGATTCATCATATTAGGAGGGGGACCCATCGGCCCCCCGGGAGGCATCATGCCGGGAGGGGGGCCGAAGGGCGGCGGACACATCATGTTGGGAGGCGGGGGACCCATCGGTCCCCAATTGTTGTCGAAATTCGGTCCATTAGGTCCGAAACGGGGTCCGCCCCGTCCCCTGAAGAAGCCTCGTCCGCGCATTGGAGGTCCTGTGGGTCCGTAGCCGCGTCCACGAAATCGCATAGGCGGCGGCGGACCGTTCATCCAACCAGGCGGGGGGCCGCGACCACGGCTTCTATAACAATGGCATGTTAACAATAAACTGAAACATCAACCGCAACATTTGGAAACCCTATTCAGCCAAACAAGGCCATCATAAACTTTGTCTTTTTCATCTACAATTGTATAACATGTACTCCACAAATGTTCACGATTGACTTCCGCGGTGAAGGAATAACATCGTGTAATAAAAATCAAACCCGCAAAATTATAATTTGCGTAATTACTGGTGGTAGGACCCCTTGTGAGTCCGCGCGGGTAGGTACCAGCACCCTGCCTATTTCTGCCGTGAAGCAGTAATGCGTTTCGGTTTGAAGGGTGGGGCAGCCTTTGTAACTATACTGAGACCTTGGAACTTATATCTCAAAGTGGGTGGCGCATTTACGTTGTAGATGTCTATGGGCTCCGGTAACCACTTAACACCAGATGGGCTGTGAGCTCGTCCAACATAAAAGCAATAAACAAAAAAAAAGTTGTATGCGAGACAACATCCCTATGTACTGAACAGAATGAAATTAGATTAAATCTTCTCATGATATACAGGTATAAAAGATTGTCTGTTTTCTGCAACAATCCTGATAGTTTGATTTTAATGTGCTGGATTAAATGTGCTTCAATGTATTTGTATGGTTGATGTAACAATACTGAAATACAATAGTAACAATATTGGAAAAGAAAATGACCTAATTTGTTATATACTTAGGCCACAGCAGCTCTGTTTTACCTAGTTATTCCTTTATAAGTCAGTAGTGTGACTTTTAATGGTTATTTTTAAAATTCATATAATGTGGAGTTATAGTCTGAAGTGAAGCTAAATCCTTGTATCACAAAGGACATTGCAGCATTGACCCGTATTTATTTTATTATGTTAGGTCCCACCCATGTATTGGTACTAAGATTCTATTTTCTACAAATTATTCCAAATTATTATTGGCATCCTGGACAAGCACACAACCTATGAGATATCATATCAGGTAGACTCTATGTAGCTGATCATCACCCCAAATTACCAAGAAGTAAGTACATGTATAAAGACCTGATCCAGTATATGCAGCCCCCCTAGCATACGTATTGCAATACATAAGCACAGCAAATTGTTTGTCATTATTCAATCCAGTCAATTGAGCTAGTCTATTCGCAATTACATTGTCCGTCTTGGTGGGAACACACTGTTCAATTCCAAAAGACTTAAAACTTATGTTTGAAGGTGAGTAGGTTACATGTCGCTGCGTCCATTTCTGTGATAGAATTAAGTATGATATTTAATCACATGAAATTTTCCAATCAAATGATCTTATCTTATCTATGTACTTGAGATCTGAATGCATTACATGCCAATTAAAAAAGTAATAGTATACTATCAATAAATCTTCCTTTCAAAAATTTACCAAAAGACTTTTTCCTACCTATTCTAGTAACCTCAAGGGGTTATACTAGATTCTCCGGGTGAGTAATCCAAAGCACGTGTATCTTTTTTAAATTCATGTGAATAACATAAACATATTCCTTTAAGGATAATAATGATAATCTTATTCGAAATAATCAAAAAACAGTGGCAGCATGAGTTGAACAAAGGGAACTTTATTTCTAAATCACAAATATGAACATTAACAGAAATATTGGAATACTAGCTGACCCGGCAGACTTCGTAGTGCCTCAATCTATAAATAAAAAACCTAAACTTTTGTATAAAATAAACTTAAAACAAACAAAAGGAATCTGTCCGACAGGGGACACATCAAAGAAAAAACAAAATTGCCATTTTTATTTAATTCGGATCATTTTCATATTTATCTATCCTTACATATTTATCCTTTTAAACCTTCACTGGACTTCCACAAATAATTCAAGACCTAAATTAGCCAAATCGGTCCAGCCGTTCTAGTTTTAGCGAGACTAACAAAGAGCAATTCAATTTTATATAATACTAGCTGACCCGGCAAACGTTGTGTTGCCTTAAATAAGATTTCTAGGGAAATTCTACTGTAGAAAAAAAAAACCTCATTTAACACCACATAATACCTCATTATAAACAAAAAAAAATATCCAAAAAATTAAAATAAAAAATAAATGTTTGGGGTGTACAACCCTTTTTACTTAGGGATATGAAAAATAGATAGTAGCCGATTCTCAGACCTACTGAACATACTATTGATACACAAATAAAACCAAAAAAACATGGCTGAAAAATGTATAGTATTGTATAGCTCTCAAATATAATAAGTGTATAATCTATTATGTATAGTGATTGAGTAAGACAGGAGACCGGCTTCGTCCTCATCCCTACTACGTGATGTTTGCTGGATGAGTGGTGACACTTGGCGGGGATAGCTGATCGATTGATAGTTGATCAGTAGTCGACCGGCGAGGGCGGGAGATCAAATTCAATTTAAAAAAAAACATAATTAAAGGAACTTGAAATTATAAACTCTGAATAAGAATTTATCGTACTACAATTATAATATTTGATTGCCATCTTGCAACCTTATTGCGGATCTGTGCATAGAAAAAAAAATTATCGGGATGGAAAAATAGGGGTTGATCGTATAAGAGTGAAAATTGAGAGTAATATGATTTTTTTATTTTAAGTCATGACAAAACAAAATAAAAAACTTGCCAAAAAAATTAAAGTTTATAATTAGCAAATAAAAAATAAGGGTTGATCGTAGAAGGGTGAAAATTGAGGATTGTATGTATTTTTGTATGTTGTATCATAAAAAAATAGAAATTAAAAATTTTGTCTAAAAAATAAAAATAAAAATTTAGGGGTGGACTACCCCTAACATTTAGGGGGATGAAAAATAGATGTTGGCCGATTCTCATAGATACCGGATAAGCACAAAAAATTTCATCAAAATCGGTCAAGCCGTTTCGGAGGAGTATGGCAACGAAAACTGTGACACGAGAATTTTATATATTATACTAGCTGACCCGGCAAACGTTGTGTTGCCTTAAATAAGATTTCTAGGGAAATTCTACTGAGAAAAAAAAACCTCATTTAACCACATAATACCTCATTATAAACAAAAAAAATATCCAAAAAATTAAAATAAAAAATAAATGTTTGGGGTGGACAACCCTTTTCACTTAGGGGTATGAAAAATAGATAGTAGCCGATTCTCAGACCTACTGAACATACTATTGATACACAAATAAAACCAAAAAAACATGGCTGAAAAATGTATAGTATTGTATAGCTCTCAAATATATTAAGTGTATAATCTATGATGTATAGTGAGTAAGTAAGACAGGAGACCGGCTTCGTCCTCATCCCTACTACGTGATGTTTGCTGGATGAGTGGTGACACCTGGCGGGGATAGCTGATCGATTGATAGTTGATCAGTAGTCGACCGGCGAGGGCGGGAGATCAAATTCAATTTAAAAAAAATCATAATTAAAGGAACTTGAAATTATAAACTCTGAATAAGAATTTATCGTACTACAATTATAATATTTGATTGCCATCTTGCAACCTTATTGCGGATCTGTGCATAGAAAAAAAAATTATCGGGATGGAAAAATAGGGGTTGATCGTATAAGAGTGAAAATTGAGAGTAATATGATTTTTTTATTTTAAGTCATGACAAAACAAAATAAAAAACTTGCCAAAAAAATTAAAGTTTATAATTAGCAAATAAAAAATAAGGGTTGATCGTAGAAGGGTGAAAATTGAGGATTGTATGTATTTTTGTATGTTGTATCATAAAAAAATAGAAATTAAAAATTTTGTCTAAAAAATAAAAATAAAAATTTAGGGGTGGACTACCCCTAACATTTAGGGGGATGAAAAATAGATGTTGGCCGATTCTCATAGATACCGGATAAGCACAAAAAATTTCATCAAAATCGGTCAAGCCGTTTCGGAGGAGTATGGGAACGAAAACTGTGAGACGAGAATTTTATATATTAGATATAGATTAAGATCAATATTAATTTTTTTTACTTCTCTGACTTTGTAGTTTTTTATGGGTAATACTCTATTCACTTCTGCTCAAAAACAGTCATGATTTAAAGAGTGGAACTGTTATTCTCATGTCTCAAGAAGACAGTGATCCCTCCATGAAGTACTTTATACCAGATAGACTACAAGCTCCTGGCTACATAGGGTGCATCATATCATCCTTTTCACCCTCTAGCAAAAAACTTATGCTGCACATAATTATCACTAAAGTTTTATAACATCACCATTATTAAAGATGTAAAAAATACCCACCTTCTTCATACATATCAAATTTAATTTTTATTGAAGTCTGAGTTAATAAGAATGTTATACATTCACAGTAATTGCTGCATTAAACTATCTTTATTACTATTAATATTATTAATAAATATTTCCAGATTGTACTTAATTTAAATTTCGATTAATGAGTTAGCATTTTATTTTGTTAGTGACAACAATTAGCATTGCAATTTAATTATGCAGTGACGGTTTACACAAACAACGCTATAACATATTATATCAAAATTCAGTTTGGCTTGAACACAGGATTGTGGTAAAGGCAAAGATGAGCTTTCATATTTTTAATACTATTTATATTTTTATTGTGTTGATAGGTACTCACTCTCTTAGTGACCAGAGCTCTTTCACATCACTATGTGATTGCTTCCACCCACCTTGTTGTGAGTTCAGATTCAATTGAATTGACTCATAACTACTTCTCAGTAGAACTAAGTAGAATGCACATGCAGCTATAAAATGCATCCTATATATAAGAGCTAAATGCTTGATGAGCTTGCGCTATTGCAATATTTAATTAATATCTTATGGAACAATGTGGATACTCTGTTGAAACTACTAACAATATTCTTTTTACTTTCCACTGTACTGTACTTTATTTTTGGGCAAATTTTGCTAAAAGCTATAAATTCCGCAAAGCAAAGGTACGATTCAATTGGTTTACTCATCAACACGAGATTTTAACTATCAATATTCATTTAACTTCAATTGAGAGCTTTGAATGACACAATAGCGAAAGCACTTGGTGTTTTGTAAAAAATAAATATAGTTTCATAATTACAGTACTTACTGAATAACTTAAGCTTAAATTTACAATAAATTGTTCAGTATCCGAAATGTGCATGAGTTCAGAATTGGTCGACATAGGAGATTGCAGTAATAAACATTATAAAACTTCTATTTATTCGGGATACTGTATTATTTACGCGTCGAGTTGTTTCCAGAACGATTATACATGAATTTTAATATATGAAAATACACGAGCCGACAAAGTCAGAAAACACATGTAAAATAAATGTTAAACGTATTTGTAAAGTTTCTCATGCTCTCTTGGGATTCATTTGGGAAATTTGATAGATAAACAAGGACATAGTTTACCGCATTGATAAAGAGTTGTTAAAGTTTTCGGGTACCATTTTATAATAGAGGCAAAAATCGATAATTTTATAACGACAGGTACATATTCGCTGTGTGTTGTTTGTAAGTCATAGGTATAGGACATTTAACGTAAATCTCTCACCTGAAGCTCCCACGGCCCCGATTACCGCGAAAGTTGTTACCGCCGTCTTCCTCTTCGTAACCTTCTTCATAACCAGTGTATTCGGCGAAGTCCTTCCCAGCCTCTGCTTCGGGTGCGTCGCTTCGGCTAACTTCGTTCAACGACACGTCCTGCTGTTCCATATAACCATCTTCCATTATGTGAGCTATTTATCGTTTTTCACTGAATACTATGTCCACATGCCTAAAACAGTTTATCACTTGAAGTAATACGCACTAGAATTAAGTTCCGCGAGCGCATGAAAATTAAAAGTCAAAACATGGCGCCGTCAAGATGGCCGCCGATGGCTTCACTAGAGCTAGTCTCTATAATCTAAAATCGGTCGTTGGTCAATAGTCGATTCTGAAATAAATTGTTTTCATTTACTGGAGATTGGATACTTTAGGTTGAGCCTTTTATGAAATAAATATTGTTGTAGTTTGAATATGAAAATAATGGCCGGCAACACTTGACACATGTAAGGTTACAGATTTCGAATATTGGAATTATTTTAAATGTTTAAAACAAATAATTGTCTTCTCTTCAGTGAAGACAATGACTTCTCATCTAGACACGGTCAGAGCAACATGTGAGAGTTTTATAAAAATAAAATATTATAATGGAGTAATAGTGTACAAAGAGTTTGCAATATAATTATATTAACCATGAACCAGAGTATTTTTAAATAGCCCCTCACCTACAGAACACAGTCCCCTCAAATTTTACCGTCCAACAAATATATTTGTCCATTAGAATAATGATGTAACTTATTTTATTATCAAACAAAACGTGCGATAAGAAGCTCCTTTTCAAAAATTAAGAAATTGACAAACAGCATGTCGCCTTTGCTAAGCGATGACTAGTCGTCGGTCCACCTTGTCCGTGGGAAGTCTCATAAATCGGTACGCCATGGCGCCATGCGCACTAGGGTGTGTGGTCGCCACTAGAGAAGTATCTGGTACAAGCGGCCACCGACAATGCTACTTTAACCGCAATCTCCGGGATACATCTATTACCATGGATCTCCTGCGAATCTGTTAATTTCTTCACCTTCCCCAATCCTTTTGTTTTTATGACTTTGAATCTTCTGATATGGACCGATATGAGCGACTGCCTCTCAGTACCGTATGTCTTCACTGGCAACGCAAACTAGTCACTTGCATCCCGCGACTCTGTGGTATTTCTTAGATTATTTATTACTTGTATTTCTTCTTGTTTTTTAATTAAGCAAATGGCTTTTAGCGATGTCATTGTTGGAAATGTCGAGTTTAAAAAATCTTCAATTATCAAATCAGGTGTATGGAGGGTAGACGTAAGAAGAATCATTTCCATCAATCAAAAAGTGTCCAGCTTTTTACTATAAATTACAGTTTAAAACCTGTCAAAATCATGCTGGTGTTGACAAAGGGTATGGTATGAATATAGCAATTTTAGATAAACTGAAGTATTCCAAGTTGAAAAAATATATTATTTTTACTAAAGTAGTTAATGATTGAACATTTCAACAACTTACGTTGTACAAGATAATGCAGAAAATATAACCTTAAAGAATAATAACAAGAAAACGTGTACATAGAGTGATTTTGTTTCGCAAACTATGAATGGTACGATTGTTTATTGATTAACATTTCATTTAATGAAAAAGTATCTATCAAAGCTACTCTAATAATATTTGGCTTCCTTTAAAACTTACCCTGATGCTAATGTGGCGCCACCTTAATTTAATACATTTCGGCGGACACTTCATAAACATAGTCGATTTACCTCTAACATCCTTAAGTACCGTACTCTCAATTGATTTTTTTAAGGGATTTTATGACCTGGTAACTAAGACATTTAAGTCATGTCTTATTCTAATAATTTATATTCTTATTTTTGTGAAATACGGAGTGAAATGAAATGAAATGAAGATGATTAATTTGAGACATTAATCAACTGGGATGAGATGATATGGGATGAAATATAATTTCAGTAAAATGGTGGGCATTAACTGAGATTTTTGCAGTGGACTTTTTGGAGAATCCCGTGAAGTTGACGCTTTGTTTCATTTTACCACATTTGTGCACTTTCATAGATAGTAAACAGTTAATCATCATCATCATAATCGGTTGCTCTTGGTAGACATGGGATCAAAATTTCAATCCAGGACGCAGTAAGGTCTGATACGAGATCGACAAAGTTAGATAAAATCATAATAATAGATTTAATTGTATTATAATTATAATTGGGCCACTTTAAATTGATAAAGAATGTTCTTTCACTAATTGTCTTGTACCTTATCTTTTAATTAAGTGGTCAGTGGCTTAATCATGTCTGTGGTATTGACCAAGTGAATGATATTTGTCTTCATATCTATAAAAACACCTTTTGTTATAGTCCCTATTTATGTTATTAGTAGATTAGTATGTAGTGTGTAGTAGGTAATTGCAATATTTTATCAGCCCACACTAAAGTGAATTTGGTAGATACTTTAATTCTGCTCTAATGAACTGCAATTTTGGAAAAACTTTATTATTATAACTATTATAAATCTTCTTCTTTTTCTCTACTTTATCCCACTAGGTGGGGTCGGCACAGCTAATTTTCTCTTCCATTCTCTTCTATCAGCCGTCATCTCAACACTTACTCCTCTCTGTCTCATATCGTCATTCACACACTCCATCCATGTCTTCTTCGGTCGACCTCTTCCCCCTGTACCTTGCACTACCATTTCCATACATCTCCTAGTCACATGCGTTCTTCTCCTCTCTACGCATCACATATCCATACCACGCTAAACTATTATAATTTTTTAAATCTTCCTATTTCAGAAGAAATATTTATGAGCCTCACAGTCGATTATGCTCGTTAACATCTAGAGACATTTTTCAAACTATGTATTTGCTTTTATTGAAAGCTGAACTAATGATTTGTATGGTATATTCAGTTGGTATCACTACATAGTATAAAACAAAGTCGCTTTCTCTGTCCCTATATCCCTATGTATGCTTAAATCTTTAAAACTACGCCACGGATTTTGATGCGGTTTTTTTTAATAGATAGAGTGATTGAAGAGGAAGGTTTATATGTATAATAACATCCATTAAATAGTGGAGAAATCAATAAAATAATTACAGTTTCCGAAGCGAAGCGTGAGCGGGTCGCTAGTGCAATTATAAAAATAAAAGTTATATATCAAATAGCAAAATGCGACAGCAAGGAGACGTCTGTACCACAAATTGAAAACCTGAGAAAATAAAGCCTTGAAAAATATAAAACCTGTCAATGAAGGAAAAAAATTAAATTAATAATTATTCAAAATTATGATTTTTTATTGTAGGTTTGTTAAGTTTTCTGTCTATTATTCTGCTAATCATAGGTGAGTTGTCGATAAATGAGAACGTCACTAAAGTATCGATATCGACAGATAAAAACGTCCCTTTAAAACATCAAACTTGACTGGCAGATATTAAATAAAAAAAACTACACCAGTGCCAAAACGGAACAACAGGAAAGTAGGTAGGTTAAAAAATGGTGTCGCAACTGACTAATATATTAATCTGTGTATTATAAACACGTGTTTACTAGTATGTACTAGTATGTACTAGTATGTACTAGTATGTACTAGTATGTACTAGTATGTACTAGTATTCTGTTAAATGAACAATGAAATGGAACGGAACGACATGAAGTTTATTAATGAAGACTTTTTTCAATGCTTATATGGGTGGACGACCTCACGGCCTCACGGCCCACCTGGTGTGAGTAAGTGGTTACTGGAGCCTACACCCACTTAGTCCATGCTTCGAACTTTCAAATACAGAATCTTCAAATTGATTTAATGTGAGGTAGTACACGCGGAAAGCCGCATCAAATAAAAGATCAGGTAAATCGAATTAGTCATGGTTTATTTCAGCAAGATCATTCATATGGCTTGAAACTCATTTTTGCTCGTGGATAAGGATTCTTGAAACCGGGCACCGAGGCGTAATTGAAGGCTCCGGGCAGCACAGCGGGCTGGTCTCTTTGTTCGCGTCTCAAGATGACACGCGGCTTGTCGAGCGGAGGGCACGCTTCAGTAGCGAACCGCCTCAAGCGCTTGTGGTAGATCGGAGTCTTTCTGTGAGTGCTCTCGGTCCTCTGAAAGGCACAAGACGACGCTTGCCGCGAGCACGGCGACTGTTTGTTTACTATGGCATCCCAAGCATTGGGTTTGTTCTCAAGGGTGCAGTTCGACACAGCCTCGGCGCTGCCCGGGGCTTGCGTGCTATACGGACAAACCAGGGATGAGATTACTGGAGGCTTCGGCTTCTTGGCGTCGGCAGGCTGCGGCGTGCTCAGTCCGGGCGCACCCGTCGTGTTGAAGGGAAGGAACTTTGAAATACCCAACTTCGGACCCTCGCGGGCGGGCGGAAGGTGATTCGCTGGTATAATGTTCGGATTCAGCTTTGCAGTAAGTCGTGGGTCTGTATTTTCGATTGCGCTCCCACCAGGACACACGCAAGATGGGACTGCGCATTTCGGGCAAGGGCACGGGCCACACGGTGCGCATGGCCTGCAAGGCGCACAAGGACCGCACGGCGCGCAAGGTCCGCACGGGCCGCATGGCGCGCACGGTCCGCAGGGCCCCGGCCCATTCGGTCCCACTGGATAACACGTGCCGCTGACGTGGTAAGGACCGCAGAACCAGTACCCATAGGGATAGTAATAGTAGCCCGTCATGTACTGCACGCAGCGCGGCGGCTGGTTCGAGGGTGGCGGCAGACAGCCACAGCCCGATGGACAGCCGCACGGGCCGCACGGGAACGGACACGGCCCACTCGTCGGGGGCGTACCAGCCGGCTTAGAGTACGACCTCTTCAGACCAACCACAGCTGTACCGGGCTGCAGCAAACCCAAAGCACATAACGGGCAGTGAGGGGGGCATTGAATAGGAGCTTTGATGGAAACGCAAGAAACAGCTCTAGTTCCAAAGGGGCCCATGTGATCGCTTGGTCGGCAACTCTTCTCTGTAACAAGGCTGGGACACGACACGCTGTAGTGGCGACCAGTTCGTCTAGTCGCTCGTCCGCCGCACGGAGTCACCAGTACCTTCGTTTGTGCCATCTTCGCGCTTCTGACGGAGCGACCACGGCTCTCCCGCCGGCCGCGACTCCTCACCGCAGCCACTGTAAAGTTACATTGCAATTTCATATCCACTGAAACATCATATAATATCTAAGAATAAAAGACAATTTAGCTTAAACTTCAGTTTATTTCTTAGTGTTATTGTTAGTTATAAACGGTAATGGAGCACTCCGGTCGGGCTTAATTCAATTTCGAAGGCGGTACCAGTTGGTCCGTCACGGGGTCACCTTGACAACTCCCGTGGCGCTGATGCGAGACAAGTTCTTTTCCTCTTTCTTCAGTTCCTCAGGCTTCGTAGCTCCTTGATAGCTGCATGCTGGACAAGTGGCTGATTCACATTTCTTTGGCGGGCTTGGACATGGGCACGGGCACGGGCTTGGGCAAGGGCCGCATGGTCCGCAAGGTCCGCACGGACCACAGGGACCACAGGGACCACAAGGGCCCGGGAATCGACAAGGCCCACAAGGCCCGCATGGACCATACGGGCAAGGGTATCGACACGGACCGCAAGGCCCACATGGGCCGCAAGGCCCGCATGGACCACAAGGCCCGCATGGCCCGCACGGAGGACACGGTCCAGGGCACGGACCGCACGGCCCACAGGGACCACATGGACATCCGCAACTAGGACAGCCCTCTTTCTTCTCGTCCTTCTTCTCAGCGTAATTTCGCCACGAGACGAGCTGGTCGCCGCGTCCCGGGCGCCAGGTCTCGGAGACGGACGCGTCGCTTCGGGCCGCCACTGTAAAGGACATCCAAGCATTAATAACCCGGCGAGGGAGCCCGCCGGCGCCGTGCTGCAAGGGGAAACTACGCGATCTCGCCGAGTGATTAGTGCCTGGAGGTCCGCCGCGGCGCCGACCGCCTCCCTCCTACACAACCCCGCCAGCGCGACCGGTGCCATTAGCGGACAACAAATCTATCTGCCCATTTATGTAATGCGACTTTATTACTTTGTACAATGTTTAATTACTCGCCAAGTGACAAATACAATTCCACGGTATAATTTTGCTATTCGCCCGTCATCAAGAACAAAGTACTAGAAACATCTAGAAGTAGGTATGTGCACACGACGAGACTGAGCCGAAAAGATGTTTTATGATACTTCTGCGACGTACGATAAGAGTTTCTAACGGTTTCTACAATTTGTACCACAAAAATAATCACGTGGAAGTAATCGGTAATTGATTAAAACATTTACAACACTAAGGTACTTGAAATGCAAACTCTGAGCGGAAATATTAGTAGATTTGTTGTAGGTATTTGTTGTAGTTTATAGAGTAGCTTTGAACTTACATAACGGCGCGGTGCTTTTCTTGGTGCCCGCGGAAGTCAAAGCTCGCCCCTTGATGCATTTTAAGAACGACACATTTTTCGTCAAAACAGCCTTCCTCAGAACTAAAGCCATTGTTTACGTTGATTTTGTTTACTCGCCGGTTTGTTACTTGAAAATTTTGTATTGTTTTTTGTTAATTTTACTAAAAATTCGTGGCCATGTCAGGAGGGGGTGGTGAAGCTAGTGCTAGAACAAGAGATGTAATGTTTCAAACCTACATTCGAATTTTACTTTCTTCTTTTTAAAAATTCTTTCAAAGATTCAATCGAAAAAGGTTTCATTGCATTGTAGTTTTTATGTACTTAAAGAATCTTCAATTATGGTCTGATTGTGAGATGCGCTTACTTATTTCTATCTCCTTATCTAAGGCAAACTGAGCAGGGCTTAAAATTTTCAAAAATTCTTTGTTTTAGTCCAACAGGGCGAAAAGTTAATAAGCTAAAGACGAAAGAAACATAGCACTCAACTATTTGTCAACCTCTTTTTAGAACTCAAATTATTACGGAATGAGTTCAGTCTGATTCTTTCATAGCTGGACGATTTAGCAAAATATCAACACGACCGATTACTATTGAACAACAGAGGGCGTTAATACATAGTTAAGGATTACCTCTTAAAAATACAAAGTATAGACAATACAAATTTAAATAGAAAAAGCTAATTTTGGCTAATTGACTGCATTCATATTGTGATATGGTATACGTACTTACTCCTGCCACTTAATGCCATTTGGACCGTAGAAAAAATTAGTGAAATTGTACAATTAAAAAAAAAAATGTTTTTAGCGAAAGAATTATATTGTTACGCGCTGGGGTTTGGGATAAATAAAACTTCCACCGAAGTACAAATTAAAACCATTAAGCACTTAGGACACTGAACTGCTTCTGTATCATCTCTGCAACGCTTTTATAGTCGATACGACATCTCTACGATTATTGTAAATATTAGCAGGACCAGTCATTTCGATGTGTTTTCGCTGTTTGATAATAGATGGCGTTGCACTTTTTTATTTTTTATTGCTTAGATGGGTGGACGAGCTCACAGCCCATCTGGTGTTAAGTGGTTACTGAAGCCCATAGACGTCCACAATGCAAATGCACCACCCACCCTGCGACACAAGTTCCAAGGTCCCAAGTACAGTTACAAAGGCTGCCCCGCCCTTCAAACCGAAACGCATTTCTGCTTCACGGCAGAAATAGTCAGGGTGGTGGTACCTACCCGCGCGGACTCACAAGAGGTTCTACCACCTGTAACAAGCACTTCTCGAACGTTCTCAATTTTACTAGTTCTTTTGATATTCTTTTCTGCTAGTCGATGACAGATGGTGTTACTCTTACCGGCGTAACAATGTCAATAATTTGTTATTGTTTATATACCGACCCCCGACAGTTTGAAGCGCGGGTGTATAGACTCGTGCGTTAAGGATCATCTCGCTCATGAGACCGGAACGCATGCCTGCTGTGTGGCAGGACTGGACAGGATGTGGGCACGCGCCACGTACGTAAGCTAACTACAAGCTCTCTAACGACAAAGGGAAGATCTTCACCCTTTCTTTTTTTTTTTCGGGTAGAGGTCTGAACCTCCTACGAGGTCCCCGCGCAAAAGGGGCGCGCGGGGTATGTGAGACTCAACGATCTGCATGGTGTTGTGAGCAGACCGCGGGCCCAAGGATTTTAGGGCCCACCCACTATTTTTTTTTTATTTTTTTTTTATTGCTTAGATGTGTGGACGAGCTCCTAGCCCACCTGGTGTTAAGTGGTTACTGGAGCCCATAGACATCTACAACGTAAATGCGCCACACACCTTGAGATATAGTTCTAAGGTCTCAGTATAGTCACAACGGCTGCCCCACCCTTCAAACCGAAACGCATTACTGCTTCACGGCAGAAATAGGCGGGGCGGTGGTACCTACCCGTGCGGACTCACAAGAGGTCCTACCACCAGTAATTACGCAAATTATAATT